TGAGCATCGCGGTGAACGGACGCATTTTTCTTTGGAGCAATAAAAAATAAAATAATAACAACAATATTTCGTTGGATAACATTTTTGCGTAAAATTATTCATCTGGAATGACTAAATTGGACGAATTTGTTTCCATTGTTATGATGAGAGAAATGCTAAATCTACAAAAAGAAACGTTTTATCTTTTTTTTGAGAATCCATACCAAGCATAAATCAAAAGTTTGATAATTTTTAAACGAGTTTTTAAGATGTTCGTCGCGAACTAGACAAAATAAAATCAGGATTGAATTTTGTTGGTGGTGTATGCGAAGATAAACTTAAAGCAGTAGGCGAAAAAATAAATAAAGTTTGTGAAGATTTAACTAATGTCAAAAAAATGCAGGAAAAATTATCCTCGGACAATACTGAATTAAAACTAAAGAGCGTAGATAATGAAGATCGAAACAGGCGAAATAATCTAAGAACCGATGGAGTTATTGAAACGAACGATAAAAAGGATTATGATATAACTAAAGAAAAAATAAAGCAGTTTTTTAACGTACAACTTGGAATTGATAAACATATTAAAATTGAACGAGCCCATCAAGTTGGGCTCGCTAAAGTAGAACGAGAGCGAACAATTGTTCTAAAGCTTTGTGATTATGAAGATAAAAAAATAATTTTAGAAAAAGTAATGAAATTTAAAGGGAGAAACTTTTTTTTAAATGAAGATTATAAAAATATAGTTCATTTAGTTTTACGACTCGTAAAATACTAAAAGAACTTTTTGAGCAGGGTAAGCTTCATCGACAAAACGGTCATTACGCTAAAGTCGTGTACAATAAACTTATTTTTCATGAATTTAAGGAAAACATCCACCAAGTATTGTTAACTCGACGCATAGAAATAAAGAAATCGACCGCAACGCAGCTAGTCGTTTAACGCACGGAAACGTGGAAGCTTTTTAAAGTTTTCCACTGATCTTTGGATAGCGCAAAAGGTAAATTTTTTGAAGCCAGTTTTAGCCTCCCAATATGGCGGTGTATTTAGCTGATTACAAATTAAGAAAATTTAGTTACGAACTTTTGTATCTTTTTTTTAATGAAAATAAATGTTTAAGCCTCAAATACAAACGTAATTTTTGGTTTTGCATAGCAAATAACATGAAAAGAAACGCAATATTACATATTTACGTAAATTTCTAAAAGATATATAATATTTTGTGGTAATCCTACAGTTACACGGCCTAAAATAATTATATTTTCGCCAGAGGGTTTTGCTACATCTTTATAATAAAAGAAAAAAGATTGCTTCCCATGCCAAACCCTTAGTCAATGTAGCAGCACTTTCTTGTAGCAGCAGGCTACAAGATAGTTGATGTAGCAGCACTCCGTTGCGAGTCAGGCTATAAGATAGTCAATGTAGCAAACCCCCTGGCAAAATTATAACTATTTTAGGCCGCGTAACTGTAGCTTTACCTTAAATTATTTTAATTTTTCTCATTAAAAGTTGATTGGAAACGTTTGAATTAAATTACTACTAGATTTTTGTTTGTTTTTTAGTTCAACTAATAGGTTATAACTAGTTATATAAATAAAGCCTTAAATTTTACATTTTTAATTTTAGTTTTACCATAATTTATTTGTTTAATATTGTTTTTTATACAGTTTATGTACATTTTAGTTCTTAACTACCCAACGCTGTGTGCTAGAAGGTTAATAACACAACTGCATGTTAAGCAGCTGAATGTCTTTTTAAAATGAACTATTATAAAGTTTTTCAAATAGATATCACAAATTTGCAAATGCTGCATGAACTATTAGCTGAGCTCTGTGAGTACACACAACTCAGAGGTTCCTTCATATATATATATATAAATATATATATATATATATATATATATATATATATATATATATATATATATATACATATATATATATATATATATATATATATATATATATATATATATATATATATATATATATATATATATATATATATATATATATATATATATATATATACATATATATATATATACATATATATATATATATATATATATATATATATATATATATATATATATATATATATATATATATATATATATATATATATATATATATATATATATATATATATATATATATTTATATATATATATGAAGGAACCTCTGAGTTGTGTGTACTCACAGAGCTCAGCTAATAGTTCATGCAGCATTTGTAAAATATATATATATATATATATATATATATATATATATATATATATATATATTTATATATATATATACATATATATATATATATATATATATATATATATATATATATATATATATATATATATATATATATATATAATTATATATATATATATATATATATATATATATATATATATATATATATATATATATATATATATATATACATATATATTACAGATAACTTTATTTTAATGTCATTTTAGCAACGTATTAGACAATATAAGATCAATGCTTTTTTGAATGCTGCAATTTGGAATATCTGCACAATCGTGATCTATGAGCAAAAGAAATAAGAATCTAAAGCTTTTAAAATATGAGTTTGATCTCTGATGCTGCAGTTTCCATTTGAACATTCAACGCTACTTAGCATCAAAAGTTGTTTGAATGGTGCTGTGAGTTCTAAGCATTTGATATCATATTAATTTGCGAATGACATAATTTCACTTGCAAAATAACTTGTAATGTAAAATAAATTTACATTACATTTATTATACCTTTACATTAATTTGATTACTTATATAAAATTTTGATAAATTGTCAATACTTGTATTCCAAAGTATAAAATTTTGCTTGCTTACTAGCAAAACAAATTTTAAAAATAGTTGGATGTTCAAAAAAGACTATATTTAGAATCATTTAACAATTATTACATAAAATAGAAAGTGTACAAGTGGACAACTATATGAAAATCAATAAAAAAGAGGATTATTGCTTTGGTCAAAGTTAACTTTGACCAAAGGATTGAGGATTTACTATAACTAGTTATAGCAAATCCTCACATGGCTGAGCCAGTTTTGGTACAATTCGCAATGCTGAAAAAAATGTATTGCACAAAATTTATTTTACGGCAAATGTTTAGAAGATGTCAATATATGGGAAGCCGCAGAACTAAGAACATTCTTACTATATGTGGGTATCGTTGTTTTAATGGATATTCATATTCTTAAGATGTTTAAACATTTTCTCAGCTTATCTTTAGCAATCTGCATGTTGTGTGAGGAGAATAATAATGTTAGGGGAACTTATTTGTGCCATGCAAAAAAACTCTTGGAGTATTTTGTGTCAAACGCTCATAAACTTTTTGGTGACACATTTTGTGTCTACAGTGTTTACTGTTTTCTGCATATAACAAATCATGTTGAACATTTTGAAAGTAGTTTGGACGAAATTTCTTGCTTCCATTTTGAGAGTTTTTTGCAACATTTAAAAAGATTAGTACGAGGAAAACAAAACCCTTTAGTAGAACTTGCAAAACTCTTAAGCGAACATAAATCAGATGATCTATGTAAACCGAAATTAATAACTAAAATTGATGTTTCCAAGAATGCTTGTTTTATGACAAAATATTTTGTTGTTTTTGCTAAAAATCTTTTACCAAATGATCAATTTGTTTGTGACATCTATAAAAAGAATCATTTACACAATTTTTTTGACAGCCTTGTGGAATCTAAGATACTTAATATATACTATATCAAAAACTATTATTGTAGTCCAATAATGCAAACAATTAACATGCATGACTTACTTACAAAATGTGTGTGTATTCCATATAAAATATCAAAGTTGTAATATCTTTATTAAGTAATGTGAATTTTTTGAAATTGTGTATTTTTTGTTGTTATATATAAATATATATAAATATATATATATATATATATATATATATATATATATATATATATATATATATATATATATATATATATATATATATATATATATATATATATATATATATATATATATATATATATATATATATATATATATATCAATATTGAAGGTTTTTCCATTTTTTAACTACAAAGCTTATTTCTAGAATTATTTATGTTTTATAAACACGGAAAGTTTATCCTCAAAACAATTCAAAATATACAAGATTGACAATTTTGCATTGATATATGTAGAGAATAAATAGTAAGTTTAACTGCTATGACTTATTTGCTATTTAATTTATAATTATCTAAAATTGTAGGTTGTACAGTACCATTGTAATTAAAGAAGATGGTATTGAAACTAAGACAATAGTACCTACTCACTTGGTTAATGCAGTGGAAGGTATAGTATACTATCCCCCTCAAGGAAAAAAAACTGTGGGTATTTATTTATCTGAATGGGCTAGTCCAGAACCTGGCTGGCAGGAGCTTGTATTGTTATAATTTATTTTAGATTATGGAAGTTATGAAAGATGTCAGGCAATGCTAAACATTTTGATTGAAGATGAAAATAATGACCGCCCTCGTAAGTGCACCTATTGGTTTGTTTAAAAACTATTTGCATAATTTTTTGTCAGATGTTATACTGTTATATAATTTGTGAAAAGTTAATATTTTCAGGAATTTGTTTATGTAATTTCTCTATGTAATTTCTTGTTCAACAAGGTTATTTTTTAACATTTATAGGCTTGAAATAAAGTTTTAACAAAAACTAAATAGTAGTTGCCCTTGGACCTTGAAGAAATTAGTTAGTAACAAGAAAAAATTGATAAAATGAGACCAACTCATTTTATAATAATGTGTATAGAGCTCTAATACAGTTGACCACAAATAACATACAACGTTGATGTATGTTATTTGTGGTCAACTCTATTGAAACAGGAATCCTTTATGATCCTGCTAATGATTCAAGATTAAATAATTTATTTGTGAAAATGTAAGGTTGCAAAATAAAATTTAAGTTTTACGTTATTAAATTTTAGACCTTATTAAATTTAATGATTTAACACTTTTTCAGATCACTCAAATCAAATCCATTGGTGGTGCAACAGCACGAAAAACTGTCAAAAATGTTTTAAACCAGTTAATGGTGCCACAAGTCCAAAACTTATTTAGAAAAGATGGATTAAAAGGCAATCTTAAGTTTACAACTACGCAACATTACAAATGTATTAATGGTTAGGCAATGATTGTATTGTCCTTTTCTAAGTTGAACTAAAAAAAAGTTTTTATATTTACATATATATATATATATATATATATATATATATATATATATATATATATATATAAGTATTATAAGTTATTAAATTGTTTATATAAAAACCATTTCTTTGTTCAGAATACAAGCAATTGCAATTTACTTTTTTGTTTGTTTAGTAGGCTTAGTATCCAAAAAAACCGGTTATGATGCCGCAACTATCGAAGCCCTTGTTGGCGACTTATTGAAGCGGGCGTTGCCAAAAGTAAAAAGAGTTAACGATGTTGACTAATATATATATATATATATATATATATATATATATATATATATATATATATATATATATATATATATATATATATATATATATATATATATATATATACATATATATATATATATACATATATATATATATATATATATATATATATATATATATATATATATATATATATATATATATATATATATATATATATATATATATATATATATATATATATATATATAAGTAATATATATATATATATATATATATATATATATATATATATATATATATATATATATATATATATATATATATATATATATTTAATACAGATTATTTTATTTTAATGTCATTTTAGCAACGTATTAGACAATATAAGATCAATGGTTTTTTGAATGCTGCAATTTGGAATATCTGCATAATCGTGATCACCTTAGCAAAAGAAATAAGAATCTAAACCTTTTAAAATATGAGTTTGATCTCTGATGCTGCAGTTTCCATTTCAACGCTACTTAGCATCAAAAGTTGTTTAAATGGTGCTGTGAGTTGTTGGCATTTGATATTGTTATTAAATATTCTTGCAGATCTCACAGCTAAATAAGATCTCACAACACAATCAAGAGCTTCTTAGATGGTTTTGACTGAACTTATATGTTGAATGATTTTTTGGTGAATTTTTTCTTCTCAAATGAAATATATATTTTAAACAGATTTAGCTGCTAATAAATATCTAACAAAATCAGTTTTTAAACTATACAAGATCATTTGCGTACCAATTAATCTCTCTAAGACTAATGAATTAATAATATGCCATGTCAAGAAAAGGAAAACAAAGAGTCTTGTTACATGCACACAATGCTGACTTGTATCCATTGTCAAATAGGTTTCTTGAACTTAATATGTCATGTAATCAATATTTTATGTTAATAAAATCATTGGCATACATATAAAATTGTTTAACTTCAACATACAGTTTAAAAATATAAAAAAGTCAGCTAACTATAACATATATCCATAATTCTTAACAGCAGGTTTTGAATGTTTATATATTAAAAATTTAATAAATAATTTTTTTTCAAACAAGTTTTTTTTTACATACATTTTCATCACCAATTGTATTGTTGTAGTGGTTATCCTTTAAGTTATAAGAAATGATTATTAACTTTTAATTTGTTTTAAAAGTTATTATAAATAACTATAATTCAGACTTGGTATTTTTTACCAATAAAAGTGACACTTTAGAATATTTTAATCATATGATTTATGCAATAATATCATTTATGTATAATATAAAGTTAGAAGAAGCCCTTGAGTTTTTGTGAACTCACAGCACTTAGTTAAAAGTTCATGCAGCATTTGTACAAATTGGTATTTTGCTTAAAAAAATATAAAGTATAAAATTGTAGGTAGACATGATTACTGCAGTTTACCATGCTGTTATGAATGGTAAACAGCAGCAATTATTACCTTTCTAGCATACAGCATTGGGTTTTTATTTTTAGTTATAGCATTATTTGTTGGGCACATAAATTATACATAAAACTAAAATTGTAAATTTCACTAATGCCCTTTAATAATAAATTTAATTATTAAAATAAATAATTTTTTTTTCTCTAATAATTAAAAAATTCATTTGTTTTTGTTTTTTTGTTTTTTTTGTTTTTAAATGTATTAGTCTTATTCTATTATTTTATTTTGTATTTTGATTAAGTAAAATAGAACGTTTATCGGTTTCACCGCTAAGAACTAAAATCGCCGCCATCTTGGGAGGCCAATTTTGGCTTCAACTTTTTTCGGAAAAAACAATAGAATCTGCTATCCAGTTATATTTTGAGATTAGTGTTTAATTCATCGTTTTTGTCTATAAACATTTTTTAAAATCTTTTTAAGTTATTCGCTAAAAATGGCTACGCATTTTAAAAATTTGAAATCTTTTGAGGGTAACCTTATTAATAACCTGCTTGAAGAAAACATAAATATTTTTCAACAAACTTAAATGAACTTAATTGACACACCATGTATTGATCCTTTTAATTTTTAAATTATAAAAGATCATTGGTTTGAACAGAGATTTTTATTTTTAAATAATAAAAGATCTTTTATTAACACTACTCTCAGTAAGAATGGAATATTAAACTAAAACCAAGATGCCTATAACAGTTAGGTAAAGTAAACAAAACAGCGTCAAGTGCAATACAAAAAAAATTGACTCTTTTTTCGTTACAATTTGGCTTCACAAAAAAAAAATATATATACAATTTAGTAACTACTTATTTGTAATTTTTTTTTTTTTTTTTTTTAAACTTTTCTTCTAATAAAGTTTAATTATTATTTAGAATAACAACAAAACAACGTCAAGTGCATAATACAAAGTGACACACTTGAGTGGAAAACCCTTAAGAGGCACTTGTATTTTGAGTCAGCTCAGAATTCAAGTGTCACACAGTAGGGGAAAATAGCTTTATAAGGACAAAAGTAATTTTTTTTGTTTTGGATTTTTCAGTTAAATAATTAATTTAAGGGCAAATGTTTGATGCTAAAAATTGCCTTTATAGAATTTCAAATATTGATTAAATGTTTAAAAATTTATTGAGTAATTTTTCATAATTCTATCACGTGTAACAATTTTGTTACACTTGATTGACTTGGAAGTTATAAGAACTACTTTGTTTTTATATTGTAAGCTTTTTTTAAACGAAAGTTTGATAGTGTACTTTTTTTAAACAAAGGAATTGAGCTAGATTTTGGGTTCTACAAGAATAAAGGTCAGTCCTACCCTAAAAAAAAAAAACACATAAATAGGTCGACCAGAGACATTATCACTAAAAAATACTTTTTGTCTCACTGTGTGGCATATTAAAATTTATTAAAATTTTAGATAAATACGTAATTATCTAATTTTTAACATTTACATAAATTAGATTACTTATTCATTATATATCTACTACATATATACTACATTATTTTACATTAACATAAATTGTGACATTATCATGTGAATTATCATTAACATAAATTGTGATATCATATTAATTTGCGAATGACATAATTTCACTTGCAAAATAACTTGTAATGTAAAATAAATTTACATTACATTTATTATACCTTTACATTAATTTGATTACTTATATAAAATTTTGATAAATTGTCAATACTTGTATTCCAAAGTATAAAATTTTGCTTGCTTACTAGCAAAACAAATTTTAAAAATAGTTGGATGTTCAAAAAAGACTATATTTAGAATCATTTAACAATTATTACATAAAATAGAAAGTGTACAAGTGGACAACTATATGAAAATCAATAAAAAAGAGGATTATTGCTTTGGTCAAAGTTAACTTTGACCAAAGGATTGAGGATTTACTATAACTAGTTATAGCAAATCCTCACATGGCTGAGCCAGTTTTGGTACAATTCGCAATGCTGAAAAAAATGTATTGCACAAAATTTATTTTACGACAAATGTGCAGGAAAGTATTAGAACTTATTGTGTAAAAAGAAAGCAAGTATAATTATGGACAATAAAACTTGTGTGAACTTAAACTTCAAATAATACCAGGACATTTATATATATATAGAGGTCTGCAGGTAAATGGTTAACACTACTTTTAAAACAATATAACTGAAGAAATTCCTAAAAAAAAATTGAAGTTTAGCAAGCCATTTGTCAACATGAGTTGAAATCAAAAGGTTTTGTTAATTAATTAGCAGAAGTATATCTTAAGTATCTAGAGTACCTAAAAAAAAGCTTATTGCCACTATAATACTAAAATTATAATACCAAATTACCTAAAGCAAGTGCTTAAATAATTCTTAGTACACTAACTATTAAATTTTCAAAATTATATAAGCTGTTTAGCCAACTCAGGTATTGCTACACAAATTAGCAATGACATGATAATAATCATAAAAGACTGTTCGATGGTGTTACAAAAAAACAAAGTTACTCTTACCTTGACAGTGTTAAATTCAATTTTATTACCAAAACTGTTGGCTAATGATCAATAAAGTAAATTTCAGTTCATGAAAAATTACTAAATTAAAATCATATTTCAGCATTAGTCAAACTAATCATAAATAATGAAGTAGGGCAGAACTTTAATGTCAAACTAAAAAAAAAAATGATTATAAGTTTAATGTTATAAAAAAAACATATTTAAACTTGCATTAAATATAATTCGTTTAATAAAAATATAAAAGAATCGATAAATTTATGTGGATTAAAAGAAATGACAAAAATAGAGCTTCAAAACATATATATAATAAAAAATTGAAATCAATGCTTGGCAAAAACAGGTTTTCGGTTTTTTCAAATTGCAAAACCGGATAACCGGTTTTACACTAACTTTTTATTATGAAAAATAGGGTGCACAATTTTGAAATTGTTTCTTAACAATCTCAAATTAAAACAATTAAACAACAATAACAATAGTTAGGCAACAAACAAAATGTGAGCGAACGAAACAGCGAACGAAAATATCTATAAGTTGACTAAGTATTTCAAGTTTGTGTTTCTAGTCTTTTGTTGGCTGTTTTGATTATTATAAAT